ACTGCTAGCCAACAACCATTTTGTCCATGCATCATAAGTCTCCAAATTGGTTTTCCTTTTCTGTGCTATCCTTGATCTACCTGTTCTGTATAAATAAATCCTGAGTGTGACTTGAAGCAGATTTTTTCATTTGACACACATTAATAAGCCACAACGTACTGACTGGTACTCTGTTTTTCCAATTGTCTTAATGCACATGACTAAAGGGAGGGGTTAAAGGTTCTCATCAAACAAAATGTGACCACTAGCTTGACTGAACTTGATTATAAGTGTAGTTGAGAACAGACATTAACACTGTTTTGAACCGCTAAGAGTTTTGTTCCCTGTTTATTTAAAACTACCACAGCGGTGGTGTTTCATCAGAGTGAATGTTTATGTTCTGAGCAGACAAACCTGGTGACATTCTTATCCTGGGAACAGAATTCATCACCTAGGATAATATTTCAGACAATATGTCCTTTTCCTGAAATAATTTGACCGGGGTTTGTGTGTGCCCATGTGTGGTGGTCACAGATTTCCCATAGACTTACAACTTTGTCCCCCACTTGGTCAGATGAAGGGACTGTGTGTCTAGCTACCTTTTTATTCTTCAGCTGATAAGTGCCACAAATGAATGGAAGTTGGGTTGACATTTTGTTCAGTGCTTAGTGTGCCATATGTATGCATTTCTAGAACATGTCTGTGCTAATTATTCTTGCTAGTTGGTCATTTTTGGGGGTATGATTGGACACCACCCATTCCCCACTTTTTCTGTTTAAATTTATGAAATTTGGTGGGTAGGGCTGACTGTACAAGTTTATTGGGCACTGTGAATACATTCTGCCCCAAGGGCATTTGGATCATGTCTGCATGTTTGACCACCCTCTGAAGTCAGGGCAGATGTAGACACGTGGTGACATTCAGAGGGTGTAACAGACAAAGATTACTTCTTGTATACAAGCATTCTTTATGCAGCCAACCCAGGGGGAATAATCAATTGAAATGGATTTCTCTAAAATAATGCAGAGTTTCCCTAAGATAACGTTGGCTCTAGGAGTTTTTGGTGCTTACACAAACCTTTAGCCAAAACAATAGTGAAAACATTGTGGAAAGATAGTTCATTTCATCAGTTGGATCTTGTGACAGCAGCCTTATGATTGTAGTTAGCTAGTTTAAAGCCAAACTCTGGACAAACCTAAAACTTGCTCCATATCTTCCTCCCCATGTGCTGAAGTAGCCTTCCCATCAATTTTTACTGACCCTTTTCTAATAGAATGATTTTCATGTTTGTTGCACACTGTGATGTCATCACATGGTTCCTAAACTACAGGGTGCAACAGCTGCTGGAAGAAGTGCTTTTTAGGGCACCCTACAATCACTTCTGGTCCATTTAGAAGGGCCCTGCTTTTCTAAACTCCCAAGAGCCCTTGGGGCAGACTCGTGAGGGTAGGTTGTGGTGCTGCAAAAGGTGTATGGGCAAGGACAGAGGGGTTGAAATCCCCCCTGTCATTACTTGTGCATGCTGTTCCTTAGCACCAATATTGAACACATCTGAGAATAGTGGTAGGCTGGGGCAAGGAGACGTAGAGGCAGAAAGATGATTCCTCTCTGTTCATCCTCTACTACTAGTAATGACACTGTACACAGCCACAGTGACAACTACTACACAAACTACTACTATTGCTAGTACAACAGCCCACATCTGTTGCAGTTTAACCCTCATAAATCTGAGACATTCACTTTGTTGTGCCTGCACTCTAACAGCACTGTTGGACATTCTGAATAAAAACAGGCTCAGGTAGGGAAAGACAATTTGTAGTAAGTGACAGAGGAGTTGAAAAATCCTGTTGCTTGCTTGCTGGTATAGAGCAGCGCTGTGTACTAGTAGGCAATGGCAGGACAGAAGTTCTCAACACCTCTGTCACTGTTTGCAGCACAATAATATAAGTGACAAACATCAACTCCTTTTTGTTTTGTTCTGCAGTCTAATAGCATGGGGACATTACTAGCACATATCCTAATATAGAGGCCGGCTGAGGGCAGTGACACAGGAATTTGGAACTCCCCTGACATTGCTGATGTCTGGTATCCTGTAAAATCTTTGTATGCTGGTGAGTAGCCAGGGGGTGGGCATAGATAGGTGGGCAGAAGCAGCCTAATTATAATAGTACCACCCACAGTTCAGTTCGTACTGATGTGATTTTGTCAGGGCCATTTCCCAAAGGGCTACATGAGGGCAATGAGGGGATTGGCCACCCTGCTTTACATAGAGCAGGCAGACGTGCCTAGTCTTTTTTGGATAGGGAATTGAACAGAGAAGGCCTCTGAATGCTTTTTTTGAAGCATAAGCAGAGAATGTTGATGCTGCTAATGTTGGAATGGAGTGCACAAAATAAAATAGTAAACATTAATATTCTAGCTTATCAAATTGTTTTGAATTTCTAAGAATGAATTTGCCCTGTTTGCTCCCTTAGGGTCTGTTAGATATGCTATTGAAATTAATTTTGTTTTATCTGTTAAGTTCAACAAATACCTGTTGATCACGTCTGACATTGAGGCTGGGTTCACACCTGGGCGTACCATAGGCGCGTTTTTTCTGCTCGTTTTTTAGCACGTTTTTTCGTTCAGTGAAACCCGAGTTCAAAGCTCGTTTTTATACCTCCCTGGCGGTATGATTGTTTTTTTATTTTTCCTTTTTATTTTCTCTATCCTTTTTTTTCCGGGTTTTAAAAAAACTTTCAAATTTCCCGCCGGTTCCACCCCTGTGCGACGCGGCCGCTTGCAAGGGACGGAACCCGGAGGTCTGCAACGGCCGGAGGACACAGCGGGGATCGCGGACAAGGTAAGTCCTGCGCTGTATTCCCGAGTGTGGCTCGGGGTTACCGCTCTGTTAACACCGAGCCACACTCGGGAATACCAATTGATACGTGCGGAAAAATGCCCCAAAGAAGCTCCTGTACTTGTTTGGGCGTAGGGCGTTTTTCAGCGCCCGTTTCTACGGGCTGAAATACGCCCATGTGGGAACCATGCCCATAGGGATTCATGTGATTTCACTTGCTGAGCGTTTTTTAGCGCTTCGATCAGCGCTGAACAACGCCCAGGTGTGAACCCAGCCTAAGAGCTGTCCTGTGCACTTTGCCTGTGTTATCCCAAAGATACTATTTAGCTCTTCCGTTCTTATCTTATACTACTGAATGATTAGTCTTTATGCTGCAGAGATGGGAGAGTAGGTGGGTCTGAGTAGTTTGGAAAGAGAAAATTGGGCATGACTGACAACACGCCACAACAATGCTGTGTGTTATCAGGAGATTAGTGCCTTTCTGTCAGATCATCGTGGGAAATGGTGCGTGTATTGCAGAGATGTACTGCATATTTTCTTTGTTTTTGTTTTGACATACACTTTAAATACTGATTTTGCTAGCAGATGGGCTTTATCTCTATAGAAAATTTATGCATTTTGCTCCTCTGCAGTATTGCCCTGGAGATCAGAAAGAAAACAATGCAACGCTGAAGAAAAGTTCCTTTGGGCAAGCTATTAGAAAGAGGAATATATTGAGCAGAAAAAAAAGTTGAGTAATTAGCTAGAAAATTGGGTTGCACTTCCTACAGCAGAGCATCCCAGAACAGGACGTACTGTTTGAGTGTAGGTAAATACAAACAAATATGCCAAGCTGAACAAAGGGGTAAAGATGTGGAATGCCAGCTATAGATTTCATTTGAGTTTGACTTGCCTTATATAATAATGTATATATGCTCACCTATGGCGTGCATTACCATTTTGCAGATTCTAAACCTAACAAGATTGTCTTGCATTTAACCCTTTCCCTGCCACCGCCGTAAGGCATACGGCAGAACAAACCTGTTCCCAGCTGGCCAGGTCAGTATGCCTTACGGCGGTGGCATTTACTGACAGCTGGCACTGCCTATCTAGAGGCAGAGCCAGCTGTACCCGCCCCCTCCCCCGTCCGTTCCGCCAGTCAT